TGCTTTTATTATTATTATTATTATTATTATTATTATTATAAGTTTAGAGGGATGAATTTAAAAATGGAAAAAAATGTATTAGCGGGTTGGGTTGGTTAATTAATTTGATTGCTTAAATCGAAACCAATCTGATCCGACTCTTTAATGGTCAAAATTTATTGAATCAAACCAAACTGACCTGACTCAGTTTAATCCATTTTTCGATCCCCTAGACCGATAGCGTGGCAGAAGTGAAAAGGATGATGGTTTGAGCTAGTTTGACTTGCTAGCTTATTTTTAATTAGTGGCTTAACATAACGAATTTTTTTTTACCGATTTATTAAATCGTAAGCAGTGATTATCGGGATAATCCGTAATTATAATAAAAAAAAATCATTCAGTGGTGGGTAATATTCTGAAGTTCAAATCACGCAGTATTTTCTTTTTTTTTTTCTTTTTTTTTTAATGATCAACTAGGTAGTAGTCCTAATTTTCTCAAAAATTTTAAGATTAATGAAATGAAATCGGGAGGTCCAACTTCAATCAAAATTACAGTCCAAATCTTGAAAAGTCGTCATTAACACGAGTCCTCACAATATTATACATATTAAAGAGTATTTTTAAAAGACTTTTTAAAATATTAAATACTCTGTGTTTTAAAGAGTTAATCTTAAAGCATGCTTCAAAAAAAATTTAAAATTAAAATTTTAATTTAAAGAGTGAGTTTCCAAACTCAATTTCTGTAATTAAATGCATCCAAAATATTTCAATTTTATATGTAATAAATAAATAAATAAATAAAAAATATATATACACACACACACACAGAGAGAAGCTAGTTAAAATAAAATATAAAAAAATAATAAATATTTTTTGGGGAGTAGTATTTATGCCCTCGTTTGGGCTTCATTATTGCCCAATTTTAATGGTTGGAATAGTGCCTTTTTGAAAAATGTGTAGTTAAAAAAGAATGCAAAATTTTTTATCTGCAATATTATTTTATGGAAGATTGTGTGGTTGAAAATAAGAAAGAGAAAAAGAATGAGAATAGTGCCAAACGGATAGTAAGTATTAAATATAAAGAACCTATAGAAATACTTCAAAATTTTTACTTTCTAAATTTATAGATGCTATTTTAATTATAGAATATGTTATTTAAAAATAGAAAATCTATTTGAGATACTTTAAGAGGGTGTTTGATACCCATTTTTATGAAAAAAAATGACGTTTAGAATATTAGATTGATAAAAAATGTGTAGATGAAAAATTAAAAAAATTGACTTGTGTGTAATATTATTTTAATGAAGAATGTATAGTTAAAAAGAAGAGAGAGAGAAATACATTTTGATAAAAATGAGAATCAAACGAGCCATAAATATAAAATGTATATAATCTTTATATATTATCGCATTTATGTCTCGAGTCTTTTTTATCTCGTTCTTATTCTCAAAATTTGTCATAAATAGATCTGATTCTGATTATGGTTTCTTGTCAAAATTTGTAATATTATTTTAATGAAGAATGTATAGTTAAAAAGAAGAGAGAGAGAAATACATTTTGATAAAAATGAGAATCAAACGAGCCATAAATATAAAATGTATATAATCTTTATATATTATCGCATTTATGTCTCGAGTCTTTTTTATCTCGTTCTTATTCTCAAAATTTGTCATAAATAGATCTGATTCTGATTATGGTTTCTTGTCAAAATTATAAAATAGAGTAAAAAGACTCATTTGTCCATTGAATTTTTAAGTAAACAAAACAAACAATAATGCAAAAATGCGATTAAATATTTGACTCTCATTTTAAATCACTTTGACAATATTTTTTTGATGAAAATCATGACTAACCACTAGATTTTCTGATCAATGAAATGTTAAAAATAAGAATGTTATGAAGGAAAAAATTAAGATTATAGGTGTGATAATGAATAAAAATTAATGACATTTAACATAATTAAAATGTAATGTATTTATGAGAAAATGTGGTGTGAATATAATCAGAGTTCATTTGAAGAACTGAACTTTTTGGCAAATTTTAATTGTCCTTAATTGTAATATGTTTGAATTAGATCATTAAATTTCAATTTAGTTGTAAATTCATTACTTCGTCATATTTGTCTCGAATTAATAAATTTTGCTTAATTGACGATCATACTTCAAAAAATCTTCTAATTAATTATTATATGGCATATTAATTTATTGTTACACCCGTCATAAAAAGTGTTGAAATGAAAGAAATATAACTTCTAATCTTTTAACCAATTCCCATTTAATATTTTAGTATCTAGCGTACCTTATAATGATAAAATGGAAGATTAGTTAAAGTATAGTTGTCAACTATAATTTTTTTTTTTTTTTTTTTTTTTTGTTTTTNTTTAGGTTTTGTTCAAGAAAAATTAAAATATAGAAAGCGCCTTTCTTATAGGATATTTCACCTTCTACAATTATATAAAAAAAATCATATAAAAGACTTTTCAATGGTGCAACTTTTAGGCAAAAAAAAATGTGAACAAAGAAGAAATTGATAATAGATGAGAGATAGATTTGAGATTAAGTGAAATGAAACTATTAACACAAAATAGTCTGATTAGGGTTCGGCATGTTTCAAGTTAGGTTGGTTTTAAGTCTAACCAGAAATCGATTCTATGCTTTTATTATTATTATTATTATTATTATTATTATTATTATTATTATTATTATTATTATTATTATTATTATTATAAGTTTAGAGGGATGAATTTAAAAATGGAAAAAAATGTATTAGCGGGTTGGGTTGGTTAATTAATTTGATTGCTTAAATCGAAACCAATCTGATCCGACTCTTTAATGGTCAAAATTTATTGAATCAAACCAAACTGACCTGACTCAGTTTAATCCATTTTTCGATCCCCTAGACCGATAGCGTGGCAGAAGTGAAAAGGATGATGGTTTGAGCTAGTTTGACTTGCTAGCTTATTTTTAATTAGTGGCTTAACATAACGAATTTTTTTTTACCGATTTATTAAATCGTAAGCAGTGATTATCGGGATAATCCGTAATTATAATAAAAAAAAATCATTCAGTGGTGGGTAATATTCTGAAGTTCAAATCACGCAGTATTTTCTTTTTTTTTTTCTTTTTTTTTTTAATGATCAACTAGGTAGTAGTCCTAATTTTCTCAAAAATTTTAAGATTAATGAAATGAAATCGGGAGGTCCAACTTCAATCAAAATTACAGTCCAAATCTTGAAAAGTCGTCATTAACACGAGTCCTCACAATATTATACATATTAAAGAGTATTTTTAAAAGACTTTTTAAAATATTAAATACTCTCTGTTTTAAAGAGTTAATCTTAAAGCATGCTTCAAAAAAAATTTAAAATTAAAATTTTAATTTAAAGAGTGAGTTTCCAAACTCAATTTCTGTAATTAAATGCATCCAAAATATTTCAATTTTATATGTAATAAATAAATAAAATATATATATACACACACACACACACACAGAGAAGCTAGTTAAAATAAAATATAAAAAAATAATAAATATTTTTTGGGGAGTAGTATTTATGCCCTCGTTTGGGCTTCATTCTTGCCCAATTTTAAGGGTTGGAATAGTGCCTTTTTGAAAAATGTGTAGTTAAAAAAGAATGCAAAATTTTTTATCTGCAATATTATTTTATGGAAGATTGTGTGGTTGAAAATAAGAAAGAGAAAAAGAATGAGAATAGTGCCAAACGGATAGTAAGTATTAAATATAAAGAACCTATAGAAATACTTCAAAATTTTTACTTTCTAAATTTATAGATGCTATTTTAATTATAGAATATGTTATTTAAAAATAGAAAATCTATTTGAGATACTTTAAGAGGGTGTTTGATACCCATTTTTATGAAAAAAAATGACGTTTAGAATATTAGATTGATAAAAAATGTGTAGATGAAAAATTAAAAAAATTGACTTGCGTGTAATATTATTTTAATGAAGAATGTATAGTTAAAAAGAAGAGAGAGAGAAATACATTTTGATAAAAATGAGAATCAAACGAGTCATAAATATAAAATGTATATAATCTTTATATATTATCGCATTTATGTCTCGAGTCTTTTTTATCTCGTTCTTATTCTCAAAATTTGTCATAAATAGATCTGATTCTGATTATGGTTTCTTGTCAAAATTATAAAATAGAGTAAAAAGACTCATTTGTCCATTGAATTTTTAAGTAAACAAAACAAACAATAATGCAAAAATGCGATTAAATATTTGACTCTCATTTTAAATCACTTTGACAGTATTTTTTTGATGAAAATCATGACTAACCACTAGATTTTCTAATCAATGAAATGTTAAAAATAAAAATGTTATGAAGGAAAAAATTAAGGATATAAGTGTGATAATGAATAAAAATTAATGACATTTAACGTAATTAAAATGTAATATATTTATGAGAAAATGTGGTGTGAATATAATCAGAGTTCATTTGAAGAACTGAACTTTTTGTGAAATTTTAATTGGCCTTAATTGTAATATGTTTGAATTAGATCATTAAATTTCAATTTAGTTGTTAATTCATTACTTCGTCATATTTGTCTCGAATTAATAAATTTTGCTTAATTGATGATCATACTTCAAAAAATCTTCTAATTAATTATTATATGACATATTAATTTATTGTTACACCCGTCATAAAAAGTGTTGAAATGAAAGAAATATAACTTCTAATCTTTTAACCAATCCCCATTTAATATTTTAGTAACTAGCGTACCTTATAATGATAAAATGGAAGATTAGTTAAAGTATAGTTGTCAACTATAAATTTATTTATTTATTTTTATTTTTTTGTCAGTTTTGGGACAATATATACGGGAGCATGGCAAATTTTGAAACAAATTTGAAGTTTAAGGGCCTAATTGAGGAAATAAAAGTTTGATGACTCAGATGAGATTTCTCTGAAACTTCAATGACTCCAGATGAAATATATCATATTTATATTCAGTAAAATAAGTTTTCAGTTTCTTCCAAGTTTTTTCATCATTTGAATCTGGGAGAGTCATCCACAATATTTAAATAGAGTAAAAGCACAATTTTATACTTCATTAAATTGTACCATTTCTTTCAAACCTATGTTGTTAACCTTGCCTAATGGCCTTTTTTCTGTATTTCTGTCGGTCAAAAGCTCGTGAAATGCAGAGCCCGCTTGATTGCTGAAACTTTTTCCTTATCTATCCTTTTTTTTAGGTCCTGGGCAGCCCTTCTTACCATAGAGGCAACTGTAATTTATGAGTATCTTCTATTTGATATATTTTTTATTTTCTTTTGGAAATTTAACATCGTGATGTGTCTTGGTTTAATCGCATATGCCATTTCGTCATGGAATTTTGTTTATTATTACTATTTACTTTTCTTTTTTCTTTTTTTGGGTTTATTTGTTCCGTTAATATAGCAATTGTACGGTTTAATTTTGTTTTTGTTTAATTTGATTGGTGGCATATGATTTTCTTGACCTCGTTTGAGTTCAATGTGTGAGACTATTGCTGGCATTTGTTAAATGAACTGCTTTTGATTCCCTTGTAAAAATAAAAACTAAAAAATAAAAAATCTTAAGTTTTTTCAGAGATCAGGTAGCATTAGATTCATGGACTAATATGGAGAATTCTTCTATGAATTAATGAAATGCAAGATAAAATTTTATTTCTGAAATGAACACTATCATTAATTCATTATTGAACCCTGTTTATTAAGTTTTAGATAACCCGATTGACGGGCACAATTTGTAAATATGGCATGTGGTTTGGTGTAATCTTACTCTCTCTCATCCTTAATTATTGTTGATCTTGCTAATGTTGCATAACTCAAAGGATCAAGAGCCAAAAGATGAGAATGATGACTAGTAGGTCCATTTGACTCCGAACAATTGTAATGGCAGATTCTCACGTATCACAAATTCACTAGCATGTGCATATGTGGACAAGAAATCCATCCATCCTTACATTATCCTATCATAATCCATGTTATAAATTTGTGATTTCCTTGTTGACGTTTGTCTTGAAGGAAATTTGAGTAATGATTAACAATTAGCCTGTAATGCCTATAGATATCCAGACGCTACTTCATTCAATGTAGTTCCAGTGTTATTGTTGACTAGAAGATGCGTTTTAACAAAGTGGCATAAGCAAGTTTCTATGTGCTCCAACCAATTAGGACCATCTGATGCTCAGGTTTCAAGAAGTTGCTCTATAAGTCTGTTGCTATCTATTCAAAATCATCATCTTATATGATTTTTAGCTCATTAAATGAAAGTTTCTTGCGTGATTATCTTCTTAACACATTAATTAAATATCCAGTTCAATTTTTTAATCCAGGAAGGGCTTCTAATTTGGCGGTTTCTGGAGTAATGGATTTCTTCTATTGTTTTTGGATTCATTTCGGTAAAAATCAAAGGCGTCTGAAGTTACAGATGGTTTGTTAAATAGAAGAGTAGTCCATATCTATTTGATATCTGTTAATGAACCCAAAGAGAATGAAGAGAACAAACATTCCAAAGCGCTATGTGATTGTAATTTTGACCTTCATCTGCACTTCTGTCTGCTACATAGAACGTGTGGGTTTTTCCGTTGCATATACTGCTGCTGCTGATGCCACGGGAGTAAATCAATCGAGCAAGGGCATGATACTTTCAACGTTCTATTATGGGTATGCATGTTCACAAGTTCCAGGTGGTTGGGCAGCCCAGAAAATTGGGGGAAGGCGTATTCTTCTACTTTCATTTGTTTTATGGTCTATAACTTGTGCTTTTGTGCCACTTGATCTGAACCGAGTTACAATATTGGTCATAGCACGCTTGCTGGTCGGAGTTTCCCAAGGCTTCATCTTTCCCTCCATTCACACTGTGCTGGCACAATGGGTACCACCACATGAAAGATCAAGATCTGTTTCTCTGACAACTTCCGGTATGTATTTTGGTGCAGCTGCAGGAATGCTTGTGCTTCCGAGCCTGGTCAAGTTTCGAGGTCCGCAATCGGTATTTCTTGCTGAAGCTTCTTTAGGTGCCATTTGGTCTCTACTTTGGTTTAAGTATGCCATTGATCCACCTCGTTCTGAGCATCCAAAAGCCACTGCTTCTGGATTTGGAGAATTGTTGCTGCCAATTAAAGGAAATCAAAAGACGAAAGTTGAGAATGGAGGACATTCCATCAGAACCCCAAAAATTCCATGGAAGAAAATTATTTTCAGTTTGCCAGTTTGGGCAATTGTTGCGAATAATTTCACTTTCCATTATGCTCTCTATGTGCTCATGAACTGGCTTCCAACGTACTTTGAATTGGGCCTCCAGCTTAGTCTTGAAGACATGGGATCTTCTAAGATGATGCCTTATTTCAACATGTTTCTGTTCTCAAATATTGGTGGGGTGATTGCTGATCACTTGATTACCAGGAGAGTCTTGTCTGTGACTGGAACAAGAAAGCTTTTAAATACCATAGGATTTGTGGTGGCTTCTTTTGCACTAATGGCTCTTCCCAGGTTCAGAACACCCAATGGAGTTGTGTTCTGTTCTTCTGTGGCTCTTGGTTTCTTGGCACTAGGGAGAGCTGGATTTGCAGTAAATCACATGGATGTTGCTCCAAGGTATGCAGGGATTGTAATGGGAGTTTCTAACACAGCCGGTACCTTAGCTGGAATCATTGGGGTTGATCTTACTGGTCGACTTCTTGAAGCTTCTAAGGCTGCTCAGTTGGATCTCACTAGTCCAGATAGCTGGAGAGCAGTTTTTCTCATCCCAGGGTCACTTTGTATTTTTAGTTCAATTTTGTTTCTTCAGTTCTCGACTGGGGAGAGAATTTTTGACTGACTTGGTTGGCCTTTCATTCAAATCACGCCTTGTTTATTTTGTTATTCTTACGACAACAGGTTATACTTGCCCGTAGTGGTAGAGCTCTCTGATGCCTGTTTTGTTATTGGCATCTTGTGATGAAAAAAAAATAATAATAAATAAATAAATTCTAGTTATGGAGCCCAAAAGGGTGGAAGTGATTTGATATTTTTAAGTTATTTGGAGAATTTCTAATCTGTATTAGATCAAACATGCTCAATTTTATGTCCATGACATATTTAAAACATTCTTTCTGCTGCATAAATTTCAATTCTCCAGACCTATACATGGCTTTCAGTATGTTGGCATTCCAAGTTTTTGGGTAATTATTCATTCGGCTTCAGATGCTCATCTTGGTGGTTAACCCAATTGTTCAATTTTATCGTAGTCGATTTCATTATTGGTACTCAATAACTTTTAGCAAATAGAAGAACTGCCAACATTGCAGAGGTTATGGAGATGGACTAGTATTAATTGTTTAAAATTGTTGGGAAATTTTTCGTTTTTCTCATTTTACTTTCCTTGTGTGGGGCTATTTCCATTTACACTTGGAAGATGAACTGATAAGCCTCTAATTCTAGAAGAGTCCGGCAGACTTGAGGAGTGGCAACAACAGGATTCTGTTACAAGGGCAAGTTGGGGGAGGAAATTGGTCAAGAGAATGACTATAAATAAGAGTGAGGGAAGCTTAGTAGGTAGTCAAAAGTTGAGTAGAAGAGTGTAGTTTAATTCCGTGTTCTTGTCATTCTCTGCAGTAATTCAACAATCAATTGCAAGTTCTTATTTCTCTTTTTACTTCGAGTGGAATCCTATCAAAAGCTTCATTTAGATTTTCAGTTACATTGCATTTCATAGAACTGGTACTCTTATGTATCTGGTGGAGAAAGACCTTTCGAAGTCAAGCAGTGGCAGTAAGTCTTGTGCAACTTTGAATGCTATATATTGTACATGTTTATCTGCACTTTTCTGCAGTACAGATAAACAAGTGCCATGAGATCAGTTTCAAATTGTGGAAGCTAAGAATTTCTGTTTGTTTCCTTATTGAACTTTATAGTGATGTTTTCTGATCTTATTCGAGTTTTATTCCTTTGTTTAGGCCAAAATTAGTTTGCATCTTCATCCACCACCCTGCTGAACCCATCAGGCGGAGAAAGATTTGAAACTTAAATTCAAGGAATGTTTATTTCTGGTGATGAAATTAGCACGCTTACCTATTAAGGTAATGGACAACTCTTATTACCTTATATTTACATTCCTGTAGTTTTAGACAAGCTTTTACTTATTTGCATAGCACGTGTAAATAGTAATTATTTGTTGGTGCAAGTTCTTTCTGTCTAGTTTGACCTATTTGAAATTTATAGCAAAGAATAAAATTTGACATGCTTTGAATTCAGCACCCTAAAGATCGGAAAAGAGAGGAGTATCAAAAATTGGTACAAGATTCTTGATGGCAAATAAGAGTAAATTTAAGTTAAAAAGGCATAGATTATCCAAACTATAATATGATATTAACTCTAATCTTATTGAATCATTTACTTCAGAATGTTATATTGGAAAACCAAGTAAGTTCGAGTTGATGTAATAGTTGTAAAAGTGTGCATTATCGTAATCTACACAAGTTCACAACTATGATAAATAAGTTCTCAATGAAATATTCTGAAATTGATGTCAATGAGCTTTGATGTTAATCATTGAGTTAGTTCACTGGAGAATATGTGTAGATAGATAGTGTATGCGGCGAATGAGTGTGGAATGTTCTCGAGTCATCCACATGTCCTATGCAGGATGATCATGCCCTGGATTTAGCAATGCGAGTCCAACAGAATCAATGCGACTCCCTCCCATGGTAAGTGGTTGATCGCCTGGTGGACACGAGGATCAATCCTTGACCAAGGGGATGGGTCGAGTCCTTAATGGGGCTTGGCCTCTTGGTCGAATTTCACTTGACCAAGAGGTAGAGGCTAAGCATTATCGGCTCAGCCTTGGTTATGTCCCTTAGAGTTGGACTCGGATATTTGATTCTGAGCTATTTTCCTTTTAAGAATTTAATTAAAATAATTCAAATGAGCCGGCTTATAAAAAAAGGTGCCCGGCTCGATCCATGGCTCATCGGAAAAAGAGTCCAAGTTGGGACGAATTGAGTTTGCAAGTGGTCATTGTGTTTGCCTCCCTAGGTGCTAAAGTAATGTGCGCCTTGGCCCTTGATGGATTTGCCTTCTCTGTAATCTTGGTTGTATTATATTTAACTATGCTTTGTCTTGAGGTTTTCGACATTGTTATCCAGTAAATTTCATTTGTAGTACTTATTGTTTTACTCTATTATAATTTTAGCAACTGTTTCAATTTTATTTGATCGAATAAGTACACGACAATATGCTTTTAATCGGGTAATTATACTTTGATTTGACTTCAATCGGCTAATTATACTGTAATTTGATTTCAATTAATGTAACTTTCTCCAATTTCACTTACGAAATTCAATTTTTTGACCGTCAATAAATGATTGTCATTAGACATATATTTTAGTTGCTAATGCGAAATAAGTACAAATTTAGTAAAATAAATTATGGTTGGCAATTCAAGTGATGGAATTAGATGGAGCTACTTTATTAATATGTTGCTGCTTTATTAATATGTTGTTACTTGATCGAACTAAATTGAATTACAATTACTTAGTTGGCTTTGGAGTTAAAATATAATTACTATGAATGAAATTTATTGACTAACCCATTCACCTGCTTTGTCTTTTCAATCAAATTATCCAACGGAAATTACATAACTATTTTCTCGTGAAGTTCATATATTTATTTGGGAATAACCTACAGGGGCAGTGCTGTCAGTACCTGTGTGGTTGAGTTTTTTTATTTTTTATTTTTTTTATTTTTTTGTCAATGTCGGAAGGAATGGGGAGATTTTTCTATTTGGCCTATCACTATTCCTTTTTATGGAAAAGTCTATATTACCCTTAATGAAATGATTCTTTATATATTGTCAAAGATACTCTATTATTATCATCTTCCTTTATTTCGTCACATGCAATTGGGGCACTCCCTTAGCTGGCAAGATTCTTTTATAGTGGTAGAACATCCTGAAAATTGATGTATATCGAATATTGTAATATAGTCCTTTAAAATTTCTGATTTTCCATATCCTCCATTGGATACCAACATCCAATTTTCATATTAGCACAAGCATGAGAATTTTTTATCAAACAAAATTTTGGCAATGTTGTAGATGGCTTTAATTCTGAGTGCTCTCCTATGTTTGATCCATGATTTTGTCACTATCGGAACTTTTCTATTATTTTGAACTACCTTCCTTTAAAAATTCTTTTAATTAGAAGAAGTATTTTTATAAAATTAGTCAAATGAGCCAAAATGTAACTTTTAGGTCTTAAAAATACTTTTTGACTTTTTTAAAAGCGATACCAAATAGATCATTAATAGAATTAAATTCACTTTTAGGATATTACACAAGATAATAAAAACGCAGCCCATAACCATTTCAATCTAATTTAATGTGAGTCCTACTTTCAATAAATCTTACTAGTAGAGTTTAATGTTGTTTGGTTTGGAGGTTTGAGATTTTCAATAGATTTTAATAAAAATTAATGAAATAGATGTTTAAAAAGTTGATAAAAGTTGTAAATCTAATGAAATGTGTAATTGAAAATGAATTTTAAGAAATTGAGATAAAACAAAGGGTAAATAATATTAAGGTCAAATTGCATATTTAATCTACAAATTTTGCTCGAAGTTACGCTTTTTTTTAAGATGCTCCTGCTGATCACCTACGCGGAAGCCAGCTATGTAAACATCACCTAAGCCCACACTCCATGTCACATCCTATCTAGCCGAGGTAATGCCTCGTTGAAGTGATTCCACGCTTCAATCAAGGTTTGACAAGTAAATATATGATTTTGATGCTCTCACGAAGAAAAACACGAATCAACTTTGATTTTTCAAATTGGACCAACGGATCCCAACAAAAATAGTGCCAAAAGTCAGCAATTTACTCATTTTTTTCCAACATTTTCTTGTCTTTAGAACAGGAAAGAAAACTACAGAATTGGATCTTCATTCTTGCCATCAATGGAGAATGTGCTATTCTTGAGCTAAAGTTTAATTTTTATGGCTGTGATTTACTTTCATTCTTGTTCAAAAAATTGGAGATGGGTATTAGGTAGATCTTTTTCTCGCATTATATTTCATTTTTAGCTTTACCTATTGAATGGTTCTTTCATTATCTACTGATGTTTTCATGTTTTAATTCATTATGCAGTAACTGTTATATATTACTGATTTGATGTTGTAGATTTGCAGAGATTTTCATATTCTTTATAAATAATTCTTAATTTGGTTGGATTCTGAGGTATGTTATTGTTTTTCCTTTCAAGTGCGTAAGTGCTACTAAAGTTTCTTATTTTGATTCATATTTTGTAGAAATTTTGATTTGTTGGATTTGCAGTGGAGCTTCTGTATTCGATCAATTAATGGGATTTCAAATCTCATTGTTCTTCGTCTTACTACTAGTCTTTTCCACATCAATTTTGGCACAAGATTTGGACGATGCAAGACTTGTCATCGATGCAAACACAACTATTGCTGAAAGAGACAAAAATTATGTGTGCGCTACTATTGATTGGTGGCCTCATGGTAAGTGTTGTAAGAGAATTTGTTATCTTTATAATCACCGGATCTTTCATGTTGAATCATCGAGAAATTCAAGAATTATAGAAGAAGCATACCTGAATTAAACATGGTTAATGGAACAGTAGAATCTTACGATTTAGTCTTCCAAATGAACATGCAGCCATTAATTCTCTCCAATGATGGAAAGTAGAATACAATGAGCAATGCACGTGTGATTTGAGGACCATAATGTATTTATATATGTGGAAATTACACAAAACCATATATTAACTATTCAAAATTCCTGAATCATATTGAAACTTTAATATTTCAAAAACCAGATTTTTTTTATTAATTATTTAAATTAATTAATTACCAAAAAAATAAAAACCCTACCCAGCCGTCACTACCCACTACCATCTCTTCCCTCTCCCTTGCTCGTCTCTCTCTCTATCCCTCACTCTCTTCTTTGGCGATGATCTCATCCTACCCACGACCGCGACAACCGCAATCACTATCACCATTACCACCACCAAACCTCGCAAAACTACAATTGCCATCCAACTGCTGTGAACTCGCCATAGCGAGGGAGGCTATTGCGAACTCGCCGTCGCTAGGAGCCACTACCGA